TGGTTTGCGGTTGGTTGGTTGGTTGGGTTGGTTGGTTGGTTGGTTGGTTGGTTGGTTGGTTGGTTGAGTGAGGAGGTAGGTGGGTGCGTGAGGCAGTGATTGGGTGAGTGAGTGAGTGAGGGGAAAGAGGTGGGCGAATGATTCTCGTTCTGCCGCTAGTTAAACTCCTACGTAGTTTGATGAGTTTGATGAAATTTGCAGTTTTTATTTTGTTTTTAGGAAGTGTTGCGTTCATTTTCAGTTTCTGGTAGTAAGAGGTTTGCTTGCTGGAAGCTTCAGTTTACTTTCTGGCCGTCAGATTCAGTTTGACGCACCGTCTGAAGTCTTCACCACCTTTTTTTAAATAGTGTTTATAGAAGTTGCTACCATGCACGGCGCATATCTAATACATATTTGTGAATGTGTCTCCGTTTGTCTGTTCCTGATGCAAATCAATACGGAGCACTCTAGAAATGTCAAAGACAGTCAAGAGAAGTCAAGTTCAGTAGGGGTCAATTTTGGTGCTGAATGTCATGGGCACATTGGATTTGACCTCCAAGGTCATCTAACCCAAAAAACGAGGAAAAGGGAAAATATACTGGGCCCTGCAGCAACATTAAATAAACGAGCCCCTGCAACAACATTAAATAAACTAGATTCATTTTGCATTGACTCGAATTACTGTACAATGCGCGTTACATTGCATTACTATACATGCATTATGTTACATTATGTTAGATAGATAGATAGATCCGGATGACCACCAAAATCTAATCGATTGGTTCTTGGCCCAAGACCAACCCATCCCAAAAATTTCATCAAAATGCGTCCGTAACTTTTTGAGATATCCTGTTGACAGACAAACCAACAAACCAACAAACAACAAACCAACAAACTAACAAACTAACAGGGGCGAAAACATAACCTCCTTGGCGGAAGTAACTTTGAACTAACGTCTCAAGTTGAAATGCAACGTGCAACTACCACTGGAATCATTTCACAGCTTCGCACCATGTTACTGTCAGGATACTTACGAAAGTCTTCTAGGAACGAGACGTCTATTCCCAAGTCTGACAGCGATCTTAACTCGCTAAGATTGACTTTAACGTCTTGCTCAGCGCTCTAGAACACAGCATTCAATTGTTAAATTCCACAACCTGCGCTCACTGTGGCGCTCGTTGATATTCACGTGATTTATGCTGTTGAACTCAAGCTCAGAGAATTTTTCCGTTGAATAAATACAAATTAATCATAAAATTTAAGACCAGATGTGCATGAGATAAGAACAAATGTGCGCGATAGGTCCAACTTCAAGGATTCGAAGTCGGGCAGTTAAATATTTACCCAGTAAAATTTAACGCCACACAAAAGTCCACATGATTTACTCTGAATGGCAAACAAAAAGACACGAAGACATTTATAAGATGAACAACGCCAACCTTGTCGCTACTCGAGTTTTGCGGCGCCGCTGCGGCCGGCTGTGGTTGCCCGGCAACGCTGACCAGTGCTGCCGCCTGCTGGACTGAACTGCCAGGATGCTGCTGCAGTATTTGTACTTTTGCGCCGGACTGCTGCACTAGCTGTACCTGCCCCTGCGACGTACGGATGATCTGTATCGGCTGGCTAGCGTGGTGGCCAAGAACCTGCTTCTGTACAAACTGCTGCTGCTGCCGATGTCCAACACAAACAAAAACACATTATAGTGCAGTATACCCAATCTCCATCGATAACGTAGTAGACAAAAGTATATCTCTGCAAAAAATTGCATAATTTTTGACAAACTTATGTGTCATTACTTAGTATTTACAGCAATAATTATTATTAGTAATATTATAGCTATAAATGTATTTTATAAGTATAATAAGTAATTACATTACTTTCAGTATTGATTTTTCCACAATCCTATATGCTTGTACACACCTTTCACATTACACACAATACACAAAGTAATCTGACTATAGTAATCATATTATAGCAACCTTGCACAAACACAACCGAAAACAACTAAAGTTTAGCACAGGTCAGTATGAAAGGATCTACATGTTATATTGTAAACAATAAATATACACATGTGGCAAGCTTGAACAGTAACGCGCACTGTGAATTGTCAAACTGTACACTGATTATTCTAACAAATCAAAAGGAGTAATTTTGCACTTTAACAAAATTATATATTTATAATGAATGAAGTGAAACACTACATGTCGCATGAACCAAATTAGTAAATCACATCACTGCGTTAATATAGGCAAGATCAATTACAAATTTGTTGAAATACTTTGGCAAAAATTTATAGCTGTGCATGGAATCTCATTTTAACAAGAAAACTACCTAATTACTTGTAATTTTATTTCATTTTATTTGTAATTACTAATTAACGTTTTAGGAATTGGATTTCGTGTAAAATAATATAAAAATCTAAACACGAACTTAAAGGGACAGTAGCCTCTAGGATTTTACTGCATACAACTGTACTTACTGCATAACAAATCGTCTATACCACACGTATTTGTTAACGCAGAATACCCAATTTAATTGTTATAATTATTTACACATGCAACGCTACGAAATTTGAATGGCGGCCACATGACACCCACGACCGTGCTGCCACCGCCCAAAAAGTTGCGTATTTGACAATTTATTTTGGGCAGTTACAGACCGAGGGCTAATCAGCGAAAGTGGCAATTATATTTATAGCCTATAATGCTATTTAACCGAACGATATTTTATTTTAGGCGAAAATTTATCACATATTATAACTGAAACTATGTCGTTTATAAGATATTACAATCCTTTTGGCTTTTAAATAAATAAAATAAGAAAACCACGCCTCGGTCTGTAGCCCTTGGCTGGAAAGTGGTTTTGCGCAAGCTTATCAGATCGTGCGCTTTGAGTGGCGTCACCGGTCGTTGTAATCAACTGTTGTCGTTAGTTTTAAAACATTTTTTTCATAATATTTCTATGGTGATTGAACCATGAAACTTTTTATGTAGCGTAATTATATACCTAAAATTAGCTGAAAATAACCCTAGAACCTAGAGTAAACTCTCCCTTTAATGTAATGCAATAAAAGTATTCCATTTCTTAAATAACATATAATAATATCTATATAATAATAATAATAATAACAAGAAGAGGAAGAAAAAGAAGAAGAAGAATACGTATAACAGTATAATATACATTTTGCCATACCTGCGGCGTTGCTGGCCCGGAACCGTGTGAGGGAGGTTTCGGAACGATGGGAACAGGCTGGCCTTGACCTTGACCTCCCGCCTGCTGCAGCAACTGCAGTTGACCTTGACAGTTGTGGTGCTGCAACATCTGAACCTGACCTTGACCAGCCGACCCCTGCACGAGCTGCAGTTGACCTTGGTGCGCCACCTGTGGCTGTGACACAACCTGACCTTGACCCGACGACATGATCTGACCTTGACCAGACGACATGATCTGACCTTGCACGGTCGAAGGGACGATCTGCACTTGCCCTGCTTGACCGGATTGCACCATCTGGACCTGTCCGCCCGGCTGTTGCACAAGCAATACCTGACCCTGCAGGAACGAGCGAAATACGCACCGTCGTCACACGCGATAACTTCACGGGTTTTCTCGACATGCAATGTTGACAGCCCAGAATCAACTCAACTTCATTGCCGGCTGCGTGCTGCTTTTTGGCAGAAAAAAGCCTACAGCTGACGTACGATGTCACCCGATAATTCTAGATATTACGATAATGCGTGCGTACTGGTAATCCGTACTGGGTATCTCCGTGTACCCGCGTGTACATGCGTGTATCTGCGTGTACATGTACGTGCGTGCACGTGCGTGTACGTGGCGTGTACGTGCGTGCACGTACGTGTACCGCATGTACGTGCGTGTATCTTCTCCGTGTACGCCGCAGTGTACGTGCGTGTACGTGCGTGTACCCGCGTGTACGTGCCCGTGTACCCCGTCCGTCGTGTACGTGCGTGTACGTGCGTGTACCGCGTGTACGTGCGTGTACGTGCGTGTCCGTGCGTGGTACCCGCTTGTACGTGACGTGTATCTCGCGTGTACGCCGCGTGTACGTGCGTGTATCTGGTGTAGTGCGTGTACCCCCTCTGTGCGTGTCTGCCTGAGCAGCCATTGTTTACAAAATTGGCCTAGCTTAGCCTCGTTTTCGTGCGATGACCCAGGTCATGAAATAATATTTAAGGCTGGTCTATAGGTACTAACAGGTATGATTTGACTCTCTCTCAGAAATTAGTCCCACATACTAAATAACTACGTACTACTAACACGTAGATTCGACTCCTTCTCACTAACCTGAGACAACTGGATCTGTCCCTGAGGTACGACCTGCACCTGCCCACCAGGGTGCACCACCTGCACTTGTCCGTTCTGCTGGATCAGCATCACTTGTCCCTGCTGTGGGGCGGCGACGGGTAGAGGACCCGTGGACGTCGGGGGATGCTGCGTGTGTGGTGCCGCGTGATGGGGAGGCGGCGGCGTCTTCTGCACCGGTGGGTTTGGTGCCAGGGTTGGTACCACCGCCTGAAAGATAGAACCATAACATATCAAGAGCTAATAAATACCTAGAGTGTACAACGGAAAAACGAGAAAATAGTGCTATTTCACGGCAATATTATTCTACTTTGCCTGCAAGTCCTAGAATAATTTTATGGTATTGCATTAAGCAGAAATTCGTTGGCTCTCTAAAACAAGACCAACCGCTTGTCAATACGATACTCACTAGCTGAGATATTGGCTCGTAAACTTCCCCTCCACAGGCCTCAACGGCGCCTCGCATCCACAATATTCACTATCCTTCTCGGCCTTTTGCGGGATTAGGAAAGTCCGCTTCGTGAGAGTTTCCGGTTTTTTCCAGCGATAACTTTATGAATAAACGGCGTTTCGGTTATCATCGGTGACTTTCGGGGGCATCGCCGTGTAATATATGTGACCCGCTCCAGCAAAACCAGGATTAAGTAGGAAATTCTACAAATTGAGTTATGTGGCATATCTGAATAGATCATTTAATTACCTTTAAAATGATATATAATATTTGGCTATATGCTAAAGAATTGACGCGATCTATACAGGCAATTTGAAGATCGGAAACCGACTTATTCCGGAATATGCAGCTTTTGAGATAAAGCGTTTCGGCACTTTCGAGTAAGGGGCCCAGTCAGGGATGAGCGGTCAAGGGCCCTTCAAACTTTTTTTTTTTTTATAAAAAATTACCATAATAATCTAAACCTATATAATCTAGAGATATCTGAACCTATATATCCGGATTAAATATGCACTTAGGAACGTATTTTTGTAAAAATCTCATTTTTGTCCAGGTAGGCCATTTTCAGCATTAACATGTGCGTGCTCATTACTCAAAACAATGACTTGCGATTTCGTCCGTATTATGCTGGAGCGGATCACATATATTTAGGATATACTGTGTATAAGTTTAGCAGCATTACACAGCAGCAGCAGTGACCGTTAAGCGACGTCCTGCAGGGAACGGCCGACAACACAGTCTGTGTCTGACGTCAGTCACACACCGGTCTGCAGTACACTCACCTGGGCCTGTACCTGCTGCACGCTCTGCTGTTGCTGTGGCTGTTGTGGTGGGACCAGCTCGGCTGATCCCGTGCTATCTTGTTGCGGGACCGAGCCCGGACCTTCCGGTCTCCCCGCGACATTTTCCTTGTCCTTATTTAGTTTACTCTGCGAAAAAAAAATGCTCACAATTATTACACTGATCTCTGGTACTCTACCTTGCACGTGGTCTACTTAATAGTAAAAAGGTGCCCTATGCTGGTTTATGTCGGCTAGTCCATACAAGGTGTTGGTATGAATAATAACTGTGAAATATAATAATAATCATATAAACATAACATAATATAACATAATATAATGATCATATAATAATCTGTGTAATCATAATAACTATGAAATCTTGACAATAGTGAGGGCTATCTGGACATAGAGTATACTTTATCACTTACCTCTTCCAACTGCTTCTGACATTTCGAGTGCTCATTGTACGTTAGTGCATCGAGCAAGTTATTTACAAACTTTACCGCAAAGTCATCAGAGTCTTTCACATAGTCCATTAAGCTAAAAAGTAAAGACTCTGGTTTGTCAATAAATAAATAAATAAATAAATATATATATATAATATAGAGAGAGAGAGGAGAGAGAGAGAAAGAGAGAGAGAAGAGAGGGGAGAGAGAGAGAGAGAGAGAGAGAGAGAGAGAGAGAGAGAAGAGAGAAAGAGAGAGAGCGCGCGAGGAGAGAGAGAGAGAGAGAGAGAGAGAGAGAGAGAGAGAGAGAGAGAGAGAGAGAGAGAGAGAGAGAGAGAGAGAGAGAGAGAGAAGAGAGAGAGAGAGAGAGAGAGAGAGAGAGAGAAGAGAGAGAGAGAGAGAGAGAGAGAGAGAGAGAGAGAGAGAGAGAGAGAGAGAGAGAGAGAGAGAGAGAGAGAGAGAGAGAGAGAGAGAGAGAGAGAGAGAGGGAGAGAGAGAGAGAGAGAGAGAGAGAGAGAGAGAGAGAGAGAGAGAGAGAGAGAGAGAGAGAGAGAGAGAGAGAGAGAGAGAGAGAGAGAGAGAGAGAGATAGAGAATATTGATATTAACACATTATATCCTTCCTTACTTATACAATAACTATACACTGATGCTATTATACTTGCTCACACAAGTGGTCTGACTGTAACACGTCTGCAGCTAACAATTCAGCGTTCACTTTAGGAAACGAACAAACAAATTGAACACAGCTGTGCACCTTTATAATTTCAATATATTCCGTAGTATCCCAAGCATGATATATAACCAAATTACGACCATCTGGTTACTCACAATATCAACATGTCTTCACTCAACTCAAAATCAATATTAAGACAAAGATTACCATGTGGTCTGCGTGCACCAGCTGTAAATCAGTGGTAAAAACAAGAGGTCTTGAAGTCAAGAAAACAAATGAAAAAACTTCATTCTTAACTCGACTCACATTCCATATTACGAAAAATATTACCATAATGAAGTTACAATTGCGATCATCTACTAATCAGTGGTGAAAACAAGAAACCAGAAAGCGCGTAAACCTGGCGAAACCTACCTTTCAGCATACTGCAGATTTGCTAAAGAAATATTATGAAGTAGCAATACAAATAAGTTGTAGTGAATTTTTACAACATAGACGAGCTCACAGTAGGTGTATCTATGCATTTTTCTGCGAGAACTGGCCACTTTAATCAACTAGCCAGAGAGCACATAAACACGGCGAAACCTTACCTTTCAGCATACTGCACTCCCGTCTCATCCCCGTATGTCGCATATATGAGGTCGGAATCTTCCTTGTTGAGATTAGCGAACGATGAGTCATATATAGGACCGTAGGATCCATAGTCACCATAGTTGAGATAGGACACTGCGAGAGACACGAACAACAAGTGAGACCAGTACAGCTGCCCAGATATCTCTTGAAAAATTTCCTGCTTGCATATACGGTATATTCCTGCATGCACAGACCGTTAGTGGCGATATTACACATGAATTTCTATTAATATTGAAATGATTTACAGCCAGCACAATTCCTAAACAAATTAATTTGGTTACAGAAGTTTTCTTTTCGATAATGGTGATAAAATCAGAACTGTCATGGCACGGCAGACAGACAAATGTTGATCCGTCCATCAATTACCAGGCAATCTTTGCATAAGATGACGATAATTCATAAATGAAGACAAGATAGAACCTCACCTGGTACAGCTTTGTTCCTCTTGTCCTCCTTAAACCCAGCCAACTGACCTGTACCCTGTGCCAGCTTCCCAGTTAGTAAACCCAGGTTCACCGTCAAGTTCTGCTGCTCAGATCCTGCGGAAGAGGCAGTAGATTATTTTATTACTTACATTTCTAGTTCCCTTTTCTTGCTCATTCAGTACTAATGACAGAATACCTGTAGTATTATAACTACAAGTTTTATGTGTGTACTGTGTGCGATTAACCCTGAAAATCACACATTACACCGTCACACGATTAACCAAAAGAAACAGTTGTGCTAGACATTCAGTGAAAATGTTTATTAATCAGTTTTAATTAATTTCTTATTAGTTGTGAACGGTTGAAATCGGCGGGTAACATAATTTATCATATAAATAATTGGTATTCAGCATTCATTGCACATAATAATCAGAAAGGGAACAGGACATTGGTACCCTTTGAATATGGTGACAAATGGATACAGATTTGTCAATGTAACATGATAGCCAATGTGTACAATCGTACCAAACATCTAGCAAGCATCTACGTACCAGTCTCTGAGCTCACGTTGTCAGGATTAAGGACCGCTAGAGTCGTTGCTCCACTTTTATCTCGTCGCAAGAATCCAAACTGTTAAGACAAAGAAACCGATTAGGTAATACACAAATAATATTGACATTTAGATAACATCGATGCATTAGTCAATTACAAGGTTTTAAAGCTCGCTGTTAGTGATTTCTCACGATTGATTTGTGCAGATTATATGCTCACATGAATAAATATTACAGCCTATGAGTATAAAATGCACACGGAGTTTTCACCTTGTTACGTAAAATTTTGGTAAAAGAACTTGCTTTATCATTAAAGCCAAATAGAGTCATCAGCATATCAACACGTCGCAACAGCAGAAACCACTAGAGGCGAAAATGATAATAATAGATAGAACGGGTCGAAACTAAAACTAAACATTTGCGTTAAAAACGTGATTAAAGCCATGTACAGCCATGTAGCGATCACATTGTATGAGAAACATTAGCACATTTACATTAAACTGTATGAGAAACCTCTGCTTGGCTCCCCTCAGTAATAATGCTAGCGTACATAGTTACACACATAAGCTCGCTAGACGTACCCCCAGACTCCCCTCAGTAATAATGCTAGCGTACATAGTTACACACATAAGCTCGCTAGACGTACCCCCAGACTCCCCTCAGTAATAATGCTAGCGTACATAGTTACACACATAAGCTCGCTAGACGTACCCCCAGACTCCCCTCAGTAATAATGCTAGCGTACATAGTTACACACATAAGCTCGGTAGACATACCCCCAGACTCCCCTCAGTAATAATGC